AAAAAATTCTTTGATTCTTCGTAAAAATCAGATGCCGCACTGCAACACTAAAGACTAAAAACGAGGTTATGAAAGGGGAACTGAACAACTATCAGCAACAATTATTTCACAGTATTAAAATAAGTGGCCAACAACTCCTTCTACACTTCAGCTTGTTTCACGCTTTCAGCTGAAATAAGCTGAAGTGTACTGAATATTTTCAAGATCAAACAGAAAACTTAATTCCTACTCTACAAGCAACGGCACCACTGGCAGTAACAGCAATAAAAATAACAATGAAATGAACACCAACAACATCTGTCCATATCTATTGGCAAAACACTACTAAAAATAATATGCTAAGCATTACAATATGAAACATTTATAGTAATTTAATTAACCGAAAAATAACATATTACACTTCTCTTTAAAATATATGCTGCATTTATGATAAACCGAATTCTCAAGGAAAAAAAATTTGATCTAATTCACAATTTGCCAGGAAGCCATCTCAAGCTGTTCAACAAATCGCTATTTCCAACAACAGGAAAGAGACAAGTAAAACAATAAGGAAGAACCGCAACAAATCACTCAAAGACTGCAAGGGAAAAAAAGCAGATTTCCAGTACGCAAAGCAAAAACGAAGACATAAATGAATGAAGCTAAAAACTAGAAATTCTGAACAACAATAAAACTGTCGAACAGAAGGAACAAGCAAACATAAAACTTAAAAATAGGAGAAAAAAGACTACCAAAAAAAAAAAAGACCAAAAGTACAAAATTATTTCGTGCATATGCGGGAGATACACGCTCTAAATGATTTACCATCCATAACAAAATATTATAATATACTGCAATGACCAGGCACAGTCCCCCCCCCCCCTGTTTTCCCCTTTTCAGTTTCTTCCCAGCCCCAGAAAAAACTGTTGTCTAAATGCAATTGCACATTCCAGCCGAATAATGTGTAACGAATACCTACAAAAATTATACAAGAATGAAAAACGACAAAAAAAAATCGAATAATCGAAAACTGACAAAAATTAAAAAAAAAAGAATAATAATAATACTTTACAATACGTTCCAGGTTAAAAACACAAAACGAAAAAAGCAAATAAATAAAGAACTTTTGCCAGCCCCTCTTCCGCTAACACTTATATAACCGAATACCAAATCACTGCCAAAATTTTGTACATATACTAAAAAAATTTATACGAACAGATGCAAAGATCATACAGTCATATCAGCTTATGCCGTTTATGCTTATTAAACACAAAATTGCCCCTGTCCACCCCACTCTACCGTCCCTCACGTCCTCATCTCCTCTCACCTTCCCCTCAACCCCTCACCCAGGTGTCAGCAAACCTGGACCTTGCAGTAAATTAGCAACAACAACAGTAGCAGGAATAACTAAAGCAACAACAACAACAACAGCGATGGGACTGAGAATGACCTACTACAATAAAACAAACAGAAGTAAACTGTATGGCAAGCAGGCAACAACAGATGAAACAAACCAACAGCATTGCTAAGAAAACTGAAAAATGCTTGACATCAGGCAAAAGATCAACGGATCAGCAATTTGAACAAAATAACACCGTTCAACTGACTGAGTGTGTGGAAAAAAACTCCCTATAAGCTATGAGCCACCGTTCGAGCAGAACAAAATAAAACAGAATAAAAAAACCAGAAGCCCTTTAAAATCCTCACCCACCTACTTGCCTACTACCCCGTTAAACAACATCACACCCAAACCTACTTAACAGTGATCAAATGAAAAAAATGATAACCGAAATAAAAAAGAAAAAACCGTACAAAAAAAGGATCATAAAAGGCAAAAATTAAAAAAAAAA